TATCCCTAGAAAATGGTGGTAAACCCGTACTCACCTGCCAAACTGTTTTGAATTGAGATTTTTATCGGGTATCAGGGAACCATGTGATTATAAATTAGATTTGATCAAAACGGGCCAAAACTTGAAATTCAGCCTGTTAATCGACCCATGTCAAACTCTAATAATTCTTTACTTTTATACTCTCTATTTGAAAATAAAAATAGTGAAAGAAAAGAGATGATTGCAATTCATCATTTGCACATCACTGATTCGGGAATAAAACCATAGAAATTCGAAAGGAAACGGAAAATGTTTAGGATCATTTTAATGTTAAAAATAACCAAATAGATCTTTATGTTTAGTTTTTTACTAACAAATACCAAAAGATTCCCTATAAAATACACTATAATTTAATCATTATGATATCAAATAATTACATAATATATATTTGAAATGATAAAAATTGGACTAATTGGGTTGGTCGAGGTTAAACCATTGAATAATTTTAAAATATATTATATTTTAGCCACTGAGATATAAAATAATAGCATAATATATATTATGCTAGAGAAAATAGCTTGTTTTAGAATGGCAAACCCATGATGTTCATTTGTTTTACTTGATGGCCAAATCTCGTGTAGGTCAGGCCCATTCAACTCTTTTATTTTATGGTTAGCGGTTAGGCCATTAGAATCCATGCATTAGTTTATTTTTAAATTTTTTTCTATTGTTTTTGCCTTTTTCTTATATGTTTTACCACCACCGAGAAATAAAATGGCTTAAAGAAAAAAATTAACACTCTTGGACCTTTTTAAATCTGCATGTGTACGGTAAGTTGGCCCGTTCCACATAGGAAACGGGGAAATAAATTGACACTCCCTATTCTACTCTTCCTACAAACGCTCCTGGAGCACGAAATTTGAAATGGGGGAAGGGTTTTTTCCTCCCTAGTATTATATGTTTTTAGTTTACAAAGATACAACAAATGTATTTGGTGTGATTGGTTATGATCCTTGCTTTTCTTTAAAGTGGTCATGGTTCGAATCTAGTATGTGTCTTTTTAATGAATAAAAAAATCTAATTGTGAAGACTAAAATGTCCTTCCTACTTTCACTCTCGTTGCATGAAATTTGAAATGGAGCAACAATTTTTCCCTCCCTGCTATAATATATTGTGTAGATGAATTGGAGAGATTCGACTCTAATAGATTTCATTTTCAACTGCCTGTAACGCAGGTGACAGATCCTTTCCAGCTATGGTTGACTAAACTGGCAAGCTCCAAGTCTCGATGACTGCCCCCATAATCAACCCTCTGAAGAGGAGATCTTGAGCTCCCTATCGTGATAGATGACCCCCGAACAACCTCAGCAAAAATCATAGCAGACTGCAATGACACAGACAAAGGACCATCGATCCGCACCATATAAGCTATCACTCTAAACGAATTACCATCATCTATTTCTTCCACAGCTGATGTTGTAGCAACCTCTTCATCCACAACAGCGCAATCACCACTACTTCCTTCCCCTTCCTGAACTCCACATTTGACACTTTCAAACTCAGTTTTGTCTCAACATTCTCCTTATCACCAGGATCACAACTCTGCTTTGCAATAGTCATCACCTTTGGCTCCCATACTTTCCCATTTGTGCCCGGATACCTCACACTTAGAACAAACCGGAGGGAGATGGCTATACTCCACACTAACCTCAAACCCTGCCACTTCATTTGGATACAAACGAACAGAACTAGGAAAGCTGAAATCCGCACTCATCTCCAGGCAAGCTCTAGCACTACCCACCAGTGCCCCCACATGAGTAGATTGATCCATGTAAAGGGGCACACCCACCGTGCTTGCAACCCATTCTAAACCATCAAGAGAGTTTTATTCGAGAGGTAAACCACTAAATCGAACCCCAATAGAAATAATTCTCCCTTAGGCTCGAACGGATGGATACCCAGACTCCGCTGATGGAATAAGATCGGGTTCCCCTGGTAGTTCCGAGGACCCGATTTGAGACCCACTCACTCATATTCAGTGACGGGAGTTGAAAAACCATTAGCCTCGATCTAAATCTTGAAACTCGAATCGACCCTTCTCTTCCCCACAAGCGATTTGCCCAGCTCAGGAGCTCATGGATGCGAGGAATCTCACCAACAAATTTCCCAAAAAGACTATTCTTCCAGAGAATCACCTCATTCTCCTTTACTTCCTTTGGGATCTTGAAACCATCCTTGACACGCTTTGGAGGACGATAGCAAAGTCAATTTTCCGGTGCAACGACAACCAACTAGGCCTAAGAACTTCCCTCGCCTGAAAAACAAACTAAAGCGCAAAAGAAAAGACACACAAGTTTACGTGGTTTCCCCGTTCTCGTGAAGAACGAGACTACTCCACAGAAACCTCCATAAGGAGCTTTCAGTTTTCTTTATTAATCATTGTTGCTGCTTTCGTCAAGCTTGTCTAGCAATAAAATAAAGAGCACATATATATGCCCTACTACAGTCGTAGGGTTGCAACACACAAAACCCAAAACGGAATAGTTTACGGGTAAAATACAATCACCTTCACCTCCCCAAACTATAAAAACACTACAAGACTCCCCCTCAAGCTGCAACATGAAGATCACGTACGCCCAGCTTGGAAAGTAAAACATGAAACTTATCCGCTCCAAGAGCTTTGGTAAAAAAAATCCGCCAGTTGCTCCGTGGTGTGAATCTTCGTCGGGGCAACATCATGAGAGACCACCCGTTCCCGAACAAAATAACAGTCCATCTCAACGTGTTTCATGTGTTGGTGAAAAACCGGATTAGCGGAGATATGCAATGCCTCTTGATTATCACAGTACAACACCGTGGAACCCGACTGAGGAACCATAAGCTCATGAAGTAGCCAGCAAAGCCATAAGACTTCACTCACAGTAGACGCCATCGCGCGGTATTCCGCTTCAGCTGAGGATCGAGTTACCACACTCTGCTTCTTGGTACGCCAAGAAATTGGAGTTGCACCTAAGCTGAGAAAATAACATGTGGTAGAGCGTCGAGTACGCAGGCAACCAGCCCAATCTTCATCACAATAGGCTGTCAACTCCAGTGATCCACTAGCAGGAAGGAATAAGCCTTGACCTGGAGCACGCTTTATATAGCGCAGCAAACGTTGTGCAGCCGCCAAGTGATCGACAGTAGGAGCTCCTGTGGACTGACCGAGGATGTTAACAGCATAGACGATGTTGGGGCGAGTAACAGTCAGATACATCAAGCGACCGACCAAGCGTTGATAGGCTGAGACATCAATCGTGGGATCTAAATCAGGCAGAGGCTTGGTAAGTTGATGGTTTTGCTCCATGGGAAACTGACAAGTACGTGCCCTAGTCACACTTGCATCAGAAAAAATGTCCAAGGTTTCATTGACTGAGTACTATACCATCAGAAAGAACTCCCCCAAATCCTTGATACTGAACTGAGTGTGCAGGAAATACTTAACTCGGTTAATGAAAGCTCGATCATTGCCATCTAAGATGTTGTCATCAACATAAATCAATGTTGCAACGTAAACAGCCCTGGTGCAATATATGAACAAGGAGTGGTCTGCATGAGGATTAACAAATCCCAACTGAAGTAGAGCACCAGTGAATTTGTTGTACAAGTTTCGCGAAGCCTGACGGAGACCATAGAGCGATTTCCGAAGACGACAAACCCGGGTATCACCTGGTTTACCAAAATCCGGGGGGAAGCTTCATGTAGACTTCCTCGTCGAGATCGCCATGCAAAAAGGCATTGTTAACGTCCAGTTGCTCCAAAATACAACCATGATGCGCTGCAACCACGAGAAGGCAACGGACGGTGACTAACTTTGCTGCGGAAGCGAAAGTATCATGAAAATCTATCCCTTCCTACTAAGTAAAACCTTGAGCAACCAGACGTGCCTTAAAATGTTCAATGGTGCCATCGGTGTTATACTTAATTTTGTAAACCCATTTTGAACCAATAGAATGCATTACCTCTAGTAGATAAACCAATTCCCACGTGTTGTTGGCAACGAGGGCATCAAATTCTCGCTGCATGGCAGCTCGCCAATGCTCTTCCCGTATAGCTTCATGGAAGAAACGAGGCTCAAAATCTCTAGTAATAGCGGCCAAGAAAGCATAATGAGTTGGATGGAAACGATGATATGTGACATGTGCTGACATGGGGTAGCGAGCCTGAGAACTCATGGAAGGAGGCAAGTCAACATCATAGCCGGCGAGACGAGATGAAGGTTTCCATATACGATCACTGCGTCGGACTGGAAGAGGGGACGAAGATGAATGGGGAGCTTCGCCGGAAGATCATGTCGGGTCACATTGATCCGCGGCAGGGCTACGAGGTGGAGAAGACCCACCTATATTGGAGGAAGGCACCTCCTGCATTAGCATGTCACCTGCACCATTTCCATTATCATGCACGTCATCATCATTAGCATACACCTGCTTGCAATGCATGGGCACACGAGGAGAAGGAGGTGTAATAGAAGCATAGGGATAGAAACTCTCAACTAAAACCACATCTCTCGAAGTGTAAATTGTCCGGCTTTGCATGTCATAAACTCGATAACTTTTTTGTTGAGCTGGATATCCAAAGAACACACACGGCCGACCCCTCTCTGCAAATTTATTGAGCCCGTGATGAGTGTCCTTAGCATACTCCAAACAATCAAATATGCGAAGATCATCCAGTGGTGGAGGACGCTATAACAGTACCTCGTAGGGAGTCCGATTATTAATAGTCTTAACGGGTCGACTATTCAGCAAATAAGTTGTTGTCAACACGCATTCCCCCAAAAACCGTACGGGCAAATGAGCTTGGAATCGTATAGCACGTGCTGTCTCCAGAAGAGAACGATGCTTACGTTCAACCACACCATTTTGTTGAGGAGTATCACTGCATGGGGTCTATAAACCAATCCCATTAGTTTCATAATAATCCAGCATAGGAGCATACTGAAATTCGGCCCCATTATCTGCCTAAATACGCCGAACCTAACTCTTAAAATAAGTTTTTTCCTGTTCACAGAAAGCACGAATATAGCGGCCCGCATCAAACTTAAACTTCAGCAGATATACCCAAGTAGCTCTACTGAAATCGTCAACTATTGTCAAGAAAAACCGTGAACCACCCATCACAGGAGTATTATATCCACCCCACCAATCCATATGCACCAATTCAAAACAACACTTCGTCTTAATATAACTGCAGGGAAAAGGCAATCTAGTCTGTTTAGCCTTTAAACAAGAATCACAAGGAAGAACCATGTCTTGTGAACCCTTAACAGAAATCAAGTGCTTCATCTGATCAAACTTCCCTCTCGACGGGTGGCCGAGCCTTGCATGCCAGAGAATGGAGCTCTCCTGTCTCCGAACCGCTGCGTGCACCCTCGTGTCTCCACCTGCGAGTCTCCTCAGAAAATACAGCCCCTCATGTTGCTGGGCGACCACAATCGGCTTCTTCGAGACTAACACCTGAATAATGCTTACATCAGCCAGAAAAATCACAGTAACATTATGTTCCTTTGTCAAACGACTTACTGATAATAAATTGCACTTAAACTCCGGAACATATAAGACATTATGGAGATCAATTCCTTTCAACAAGGTTGCCGAACCAATGCCTCTAACGGGAACACTGGATCCATCCGGTATTTTGACAGAGCCGTTACTATTTGTAAACTTAACTTCAGTTAACAAGATGTCATCATCAACTATGTGTTCATTGCATCCACTATCGAGCAACCACTCATGAAGAGCAAGAACATTACCTGCCATGTTCTGGGGTCTACTTTGTCATCAGGGTCAACAGTGAGCAGGTGCTTAAGCTGGTTGTACTACGATGCTTTGGGTCCCGGCACTAGACTTTCCGCCACTTCAACAGCTGCTGCCCGAGATTGCCCCCTGTAGCCCTTGCGATGGCCTCCCCCATCCTTCTGCAGGCGATCTTTATCGCGTCATGGAGGATAGCCTATCAACTTGTAACAGGTTTCTTTCACGTGACCAATCTTGTTGTAGTGTTTACATCTCGGACGATCATCCTCGTCCTAACTCCGTTCATTCCCAGCGCTAGTTTTCACGTCACGCTCCCCCTTTCCAAGGAATGCGGCGGCCTCAACTTGGCCTGGTCTGCTGGAGGTGATGAGGCGTTGTTGCTCCTCCATGAAACAGTACGATTGGCCTCACTTAAGCTGGGAATAGGGTTGGTGCTCAACACCTTTGACCGTACCGTAGAATAGGCTTCATCGAGCCCCAATAGAAAATCAAACAACTGATTCTTCTCCTGCTTCTCCTGCATACGAACCTCCAAGTTGCAAGTGCACTTTCCACATTCACATCGAGGATCAGGACTGACCGAGCTCATCTCTCCCCATAAACTCCTAAGCTTCGTATAAAATCCTAAGATCGACAACTTTTCTTGCCTCAAAAACCCTATCGCACGACGTAGCTCATACGCCCTAGGAGCCGAACCATGGCTGAACCTCTGCTGTAAATCGAGCCATATTTCCCGAGCAGTTCTGGCATAGCGCACGCTGGTCCTGATCTCCTTGCTCATGGTCGTCTTCAACCAACCCTTAACAAGAGCGTTACACCTTATCCAAGCATCAAGATCATCCCCTTCGTTAGGCCTTGTGACCATTCCATTCACAAACCCCAATTTATTTTGGGCTATCAGGATTTCAGTAATATCAACGACCCATTCGCCATAGTTCACGTCAGTTAACACTTCTTCGACGAACATCTGGTTAGGGCTATCAGAAGAATGTTGATGGAAAGGAGAAGAGACTGGGTATACCTTGTAGCGGTGACCATCACCGGATCCTCCATCGGTGGAACCTCCGCTAGTACCATCAGCCGTCTCCTTCTCCGACTTATCAACCATCGTTCAAAAATACTTGTTGAATCTTTAGTTCAGCTCTGATACCATGAAAAACAAACTAAAGCGCAAAAGAAAAGACACACAAGTTTACGTGGTTTCCCCGTTCTTGTGAAGAACGAGACTACTCCACGGAAACCTCCATAAGGAGCTTTCGATTTTCTTTATTAATCACTGTTGCTGCTTTCGTCAAGCCTGTCCAGCAACAAAATAAAGAGCACATATATATGCCCTACTACAGTCGTAGGGTTGCAACACACAAAACCAAAAACAGAATAGTTTAGGGGTAAAATACAATCACCTCCCCAAACTATAAAAACACTACAAGATCACCAGCCGGCCTAAACACCGTCGTTGTTGAGGCCGCCATAGCGATCGATGAAACCCTAGCTCAAAGAGAATGGGAAGAGAGAGAAAGAAGAGAGAGTATGTGATTAGTATATTGCTACTATCACGTATACAATTATTTTACACTATGATATATTCATACCAATATTGTATACTTTCATACCACCATGATACAATATGATGTACTCCCAAACATTACAATCACGATATAGACTAGTAATATATATCTCAATTTTTGTTTCAAAATATATCAAAGTGTATATTATTTTGATTAGCACAATTAATCTGATTTTTTGTGTAATGAATTTAAATTCTGACTTGAAACTAATACATTAGATGAACAACGGTCGATACGCATTCGAGGAAGTAGACTCATGGATTAATAAGTTAGATGTTATTCACATTTGGAAAAGCTTGATCTTTATTCGAAAATGTAAAGCTTGGTTATTATTAGATTTTGCTGACAACTTCGAGACAAATATGATTAATTGTTGTCTAATGTGAATGAGAGCTTTAATTGATGGCAAGCTCTCTCAAAGTACACCACAAATGTCAGAAAGCATACATGGAATACAATAAAACTAACTACAAATCCCACAAAGCTAACCAACAGAAAGCAAACCATATTTGTCAAAAACCACACCACTTTCTCATAATCAAGACTAAGGATGGCAAAAATAATTGTACTCAGCGATACCCGCCCGTATCCAATATAATCGGGTGAGTAAAACTTATATTCGAAGGATTTTTAATGGGTATGGTTAAAATCCGAAATCGAAAATTGTGAGTGATAGATGTGCATGGTTTTCTCACTATTCGATCCGAACCCTCCTGATTATATGCATGCATATCTATATTTTTTTTAAATGATCATTAATTTTTCAACATATTTTATATTCATTATACATATACAATATTATCATTAAATTGTATTGTTTTTAACTAACGTTCTTGGTTATAGTAATTTATTCAGGTAATTTTCACTAATATACTGTCACTCTGTCAGTATATGTGAAATTGTTAATATGTTGGTTTAAGTTACAAAGAGAGATTATTATCCACAGATAATCGTGAATATCCGAAACCCGATCGCATATGGGTATGATTTTTATATTTTACCCGATTAATATTTTATGGGTAAGAATAAAATTCGAACTAATTTGGATAGAATAATAGATATACACTATCCGACTCCAACCAAACCCGTCACCATGCTATTGAAGACCATAATATTATGAAGCACCCACAAACCTCTTGGTGCACACAACACAATCGCACAGATCACTACAAACACACCCAGAAAGTAGAACATTAATCTTATAAGGAAACCACATTTCTAATAAAACGCATCACATTTCTCACTAAGTATAACACAAATTTTTTTACGAGTTCACATTACAGAACTCTTAGACCATCCCTCCAACAAGGAATTGAGAAAATGCTAGAATGCCAAATGTTTTTGGCTTTTTGACACTAAAATTGGTTTTTGCTCCAACAAGCAATGCCAAAATGTCAATTTTTCTTTTTTGTGTTAATCTAATTTAGTGTCAATTTCATCATTTTAATTGATAGTTTGTAGATTATTTGTATATAGATAGCACTAATTAATTAAGCCGAACGTTTCCATATATTTTTTTTCATTTCGACATAAAAATATCATTAAATATAATATCATTAATGACGAAATCACAATAATTTGTTTAAATTGACCATAGACACTTCACATGTTCAAATATAATATCATTAATGACGAAAAAATTGTTGGGTGTTAAAAGAGTCGTTGAAATTCAATTTAGAGACTGAAACATAATTTTTTAATCAAGTGAGAGAATCTGACATTTCTTGTCTTTTTCTAGTGGGTATTTGGTAGAATTTTTTGGTATTTTTGGCTTTTTACATTTTCTCAATTGTTGTTGGAGGTGGTATTTTAGCATTTTTGACATTTTGGCTTAGTTGCTGGAGATGGTCGTAACATACCGTTTGGTATAAATAAATTCCATATGTTTTGAGGAATTCATTTTGAAATGAAACATTTTTGTGTTTAGTATTTAAAAGAATTCATTTCAATTCTAAATTTTGAATTCTATGAAATTTTAACTAGTTATAGCAATTCCGGGGAATTGAGATGAAATTTCCAAATGAATTGCATAAGTATTAATTAATTATAATAGAATGATATAATTATCCTCTTTTGTTATCTAAATTACTTATACATATGACATACCAAACACATAAATTCATTTGACAATGAATTCTACACGATAATTCATTTTATTTTTAAAGATTTGAATATCACTTACCAAACGAAAGATTTCATTTGACAATGAATTCTAAATGATAATTCATTTTACAATGAAATGAATTCTCGATTCATTTAATACCAAACGATGTGTTAAAGCATATTACAAATCTCCTAATGCACACCATCAAATATCATAAAAAAAAATTACGAAACCTAACTAGAAAAGCACACCGTAAAACTCATACAGATTCATAAGCAAGTAATTAATAAGAAAGATTAGCAAATAAAGTGACGCTGCTATAACAAACACGTGCCCAAAATTAAAGGCAGCGACCGGTCCTGGTGGTGACCATATATTCTATATATGGTCACAAAGTGAGCTCCTGTCAATTTATCACTTCTGTCCAAACCTACTTTTCTCACCATTGGTTTTGTCGGTAGCTTAGCCTTCTTTGTTTTTTTTTTTTTTTTTTTTTTTTCCTAGCAGTTTGATACTGCTGATAATTATTAACCAGTTAAAAACAAAATATTATACTTACTGTTATCTTGTTCTAGAATGATAGTTTCTTTCATTTATATTACTTAATAATTAAAAGAAATCAGAGGATATTATTATTAAAATAAAAAAGAGTCTTTTTATTTTGATTTCCTTCAATATTTTGTATTTGGTAGATTTTGTAGTAATTTTACAGCCGTTCTTATAAATTAATTTTAAGTTTAGCGAGCAAATATGCCACATCTTTCATTTATATTTTCTACCGTTTGGTACCAAATGAATCAAGAATTCATTTCATTATAAAATAATTACCGTGTAGAATTCATTGTCAAATGAAATCTTGTGTTTGGTATGTTATATTCAAATTTTTAAAAGTAAAATGAATTGTGGCGTAGAATTCATTGTCAAATGAATTTCTATGTTTGGTATGTCATATATGTAAGTAACTTAGTTAATAAAGAGGATAATTATGTCATCCTATAATAATTAGTAAATAGTTGTGGAATTCATTTGGAAATTTCATCTCAATTCCTCGGAATTGCTATAACTAGTACCAATTCCATAGAATTCAAAATTTAGAATTGGAAATGAATTCTTTTAAATACCAAACACAAAAATGTTTCATTTCTAAATAAATTTCTCAAAACTTATGGAATTCGTTTATACCAAACTGTATTTATACCAAAGTATACTAGTTCATCGTGGCTGATCAATACAGTGAATTTTTCACCACATGTCATTAAAAAGGTGATGTCTTCATCGTTTTTCTTTAAGGCGTTGAATGGTAAGCTCGTTATTCACCGCGTTAGACAAAGACGGTGAATACGTCATCGTTTTAATTTAAAATGGTGAATGTGAAACATGTGTACTTTGGAAATTTTTTTAAGAATTAGTGTAATTTGGGATTTTTCCATATTTGGACTATACAAGATAGAAAACGAGTTATTTCCTAATATGGTTGATTAGGCCTATAGGTGTCAATCGGGCTGGGTTCGGGTTCAAACGGGTTGCGGGTTAGTCGGGTTGCGGGTTCATTGGGTTCGGGTTCAATCGGGTTGCGGGTAAATCGGATTGCGGGTTCATCGGGTTTTGGGTCGAGCGGGTTGCGGCCTGCGGGCGGATCGGGTTTCGAGTTGTTCAGGCCAGCGCATCGAGTAACTTACTCATTACTCGTTACCAACTTACACATTTTATTACACTAATTTAAAATAATTTTCTCAACTTTCTAACCAATTTATTTCTACCTCGTATATATATACTTAATTTTTTTAAAAAAAACTAGTCAAAATGTTAAATCAATTTGTATGACTTGCAAACTTGTTATGAAATTAATCATAATGGGTAAAGTACACTAGCTAATAGTAATGGTCATATCAATATTTTCAACCAAAAGACACCATTAATTGTTTATTTGATATTTTAGTATTAATTAAGTAGTAATTGGATTAAAGTATCTCGTTTAGTATAACCATGCAAATCTGGTATTTGACGTGTGGTATTTGGCAAAAGCGGAGTGATAAAAGGAGTTATTTCGAAATAACTTATTGCCCAAATAACTTCAGTAAACTGTTGCCAAACGAGTTATTTGTAAAATTGTTCGAATTATCCTAAAAATTGGACCATTAAAGATTAACTATCTAATTTAGTAAAATTATTGTGACTTCAACCATAACTTACTCAATAACATATATCCTATACACTTAGCCTTACCTTCAATCAACAATATTAAGTTAGTATATGTTGTTGATGGTATACCCTAAACCATCAATACATTATACACTAACCACATACCCTATACCCTAACCATATGTCATTGAGTTGTGATTTTGCTAGTATAGTTAATTTAAAAGTGAAATTCATACTTTGATTTTCAAAATATAGATAAAAAGTGATATTTGCTAATTGCTATACCCTAAACATATATCATATACTCTACATCACATACCTTGTACCCTAACCACGTACCATAAACATAAAAATTAAAAAGGGATCTCATGTCGTTGAAGACTTCAAATGACTTCAAGTGAACGTATATTAATAAAAAACTTAGAACCGTCAAAACCATCAATATCTTATACCCTAACCATATACGCCCTAAACCATTTGTACCTTATACCCTAACCATATACTTTATACCCTAAACAACGAACCATCAAAGGTTACTTATCAAGTTTAGTATAATTGTTGTAACTAATGGTTAATTTATTTATTAGCCCATAAACAATTACATACATATATATATATTAGCCTTCAAAGCATATTAGAATAAATTTAACTAGTCATGCCCTCCATATAAAAGTTAAAGATTCATATTTCAAAGGCTAAAATTTTGAAAAACCAAAAAAATTGAAAACACCAAATTTGTTTCCTTCTTTCTTTTCAAAAAAAAAAAAACTTAAATTCAAGTGACCTTCATGTTTCAAATTTTTTAATTTTCTTAAAATAAATTAATATCAAGTGAGTTTCATATTCTTTAAATTTCCTATATGAAATGAAAAAAATAATTTTACTTAAGTTTAGAATGAAAAACTTTATTTTGAAAAACTATGTATTGTATATTATAATAATTATTCAATTGGATTAGATGAAGTTCGAGTTGAGTCGGTCGGGTTACTGGTTAGTCGGGTTCGGGCTAACCGGGTTGTGGGTCAATCGGGTTACAGGTCATTCGGGTTGCGGGTCAGGCGGATTGCGGGTTGCTGACTTTTAGTCAATTCGAGTTGCGGTCGGGTTGCAGGTCGGGTTGATCGGGCGGGTTAATCAGGTCGGGCTAAGTTTTGACACCTATAAGGCAGACTCCAAATCCAAAGTCCAGACTGATTCTGCACCTCGTACACATTTCCAATTTGGCAATGATATCCAACTTTGAAGAAGAAAAAGAAGCAATGGCTTTGTCCTTCCTCTTAGGGATGTTCAAATGGTTACCATGGTTATAACCAAATCAAATAAGGCTAAATTCCATAAACCATGGAATATAATATCATAACCAAACCGTCCATACTAATACAACAACCAAATTAACCAAACTAAAGTTTAATCGGTTTGGTTAATTGGTTAACCAGATTAACCAATATAAAATCGCATTATCATTGAAGATGAAAATTTTCCAGTTAATGCAACAATTCGTAATTTATATAATGAATAAAATATAACAATCAACATGTAGTTATAGTTGACCCTTAACAAAAATACATACAACTAAGACAATTATCTTACGATTAGTATAAAAGTATTCACCTAACAAAAATTTATGACAATGGTATGGGTTAATGAATTGTTGTGTTTGTGCAAATTGGCTTAGTCTCTTAGCAATTATCATAGACTGGAAATGACCTTCCTTTCAAGTTTTCATCCATCATAATGTATGAAATTTATCTAAATTAGGCGTCTATATGTTGTGGTCTACACTTTACATATACAAATATACACTATATGAGCAATATTGAGCTTTATATTTTATGAGTCTAAAAGGGATGAACATTAACTATTGAGTGGTTATGCAAAGTATTAAGTATGTGTATATAATATATGTTAGATATATGACTAATTACTTAACTGGTTAATTTGGTTTGACTGGTTAGGAGTGTTTGAAACCAAACCAAACCACCTAAACCAAATAAGCTAAAAACTTTAACAAAATCAAACCAATTATCTAAATTAACCAAACCAAATTATCCAAATAGTACCGGTTAAAACGATTACCACGGTAACCAAACCGTTTGAACACCCCTACTTCCTCTGGCCCTCTCCTGATCGTGACCTTCCTTTAGCTTTTAGTTGTTTTTTTTTTTTTCCTTTTTCTTTACCAAGATATCTTCACTGCTATGTATCTTGATTCCTCCATACTCCATTTCCTGTTCTTGAGAGAAGAGATCGTATAGAGCCATAGCCAGGGCGCCTGAAAGTGAGGAGTAGCCGGCGACCAAGAATTTCAGAGGTTTTGAAGAATCGGTTAGTTTCCTCTTTCTATGAGTCACCGCAGAGATATCTAGAGAATGTTTTTCCAAACGTACGTAAAACCCAATTAAGCTTTACTTTATAGTAATCATCTTTTGACTATGCAGATTTAGACTACATTTCTTCTTGTTGTTGTGGTGGGTGTAAGGTTGAGCAGCTCTAGCACCGACTAAGCCAAACCACGCCACCCTTTCTTCCTCTCTATTTCTCTTCCCACTCTGTTCCGATCTTCTCGTAATCCATTGAGAGTGTTGACAGATTTGATGGTTGATATTATTGACAAATCTTTAATCGTTCATGTCATCGCTTAGTCAACATTAATACACTTCGAAAATTCCTATTTCATATATTCTCTAATTTTAAATTTTATTACATATTAAATTAAAAAAATTTATTTCTCTAATAACTATTAGTTCCCATTCAGACAAGAATGGGTGTTGTAATTGTACCTTTGTTTCACAATCGCACTGCAACCACAACAACAAAACCGTAATGTTGTTATGTTTGTCCATATGGTTAGGACTTAGGACCTTGATGACAAGGTTGGTTTTGTCTATGTAGTACTTTTGAAAGTGTTATGAATTTCATCTACATACTGATCATATAGCAATGGAATGACTTTGATTCTGTGATGTAGCTTATGCACAACGGACAGTAGTGTAAGAAAAGAAAACATCATGCTGCGTAGCAGAGTAGGGGCGGGAAGGAGGCAGCAGGTTCAAGTTGGATCGCCATGGGGAGATTTGTGTGCGGATATCTTAAGCTCCATATACGAAAAGCTGCCTCCGAACCCAGGAGCTGCCGCTTGCAATTCAGATCAGTATGTAAAAACTGGCGTCAAATATCTCATCGCCACGCCGGGAAATCCCCTGCTTCTTGGGCTCCCCTGAAGCCAGCAATGTCGGCAGAAATCCCCGGCAAGATCCGCGAAGAATTGAGCTGCGCCTGTATTCGATATTGCTGGCCTGGGAGTGGGTGGTTGCTTCTGTCAATTAGCGGTGTTGGAATCATGGGGCTTTTCAATCCTTTTTTGCATTGGCCTACTAGCTTCGTTCGGCTTCCTGCTCTGCCTCACTCTGTTTCACAGCCACCGTCAAAAGCCGCCTTCTCTGCCCCACCGACCGATCCTGACTGGACCATCTTCATCGTGCGGGACAGCTGCAGCTTCAGCACGTTCCGTCGCGGCGAGCTGCGGTGGAGCGATTACACTTGCAGAGGCAAGGGGAACCGCCGATATTGCGATGGGATCGGGTACAGGGAAGGGAGCTTCTTTTGCTTGTTCGATACGGGAGATGTTTTGATCTTTGGAGTTGGCGCCGGTCGGCGGATGGGAGCGATGCTGGTGGCTGTAGCTGCTCCTCCGGCGATGGTGATGCTGGTGAGGCAGAATCGTTTGCGTGTTGTTGCAGCGGTGGCGGGATCGGATGGGGAATTTCTGGTGATGAGTTGGGGCAGAGGAGGCGGCGGCAGCGGGATCCGGTTGCTGCACGTGGAGAGGAAAACAAGGGAACAGTTGCAGGATGGGCGCGGGTGGGGATCAGACATTTTAGTGAAGGAGTGGGCGAGCTTGATTGTTGAGGAAACGAGCTTGCCTCCAATGGTTGCCGATGTTCTTGATCTTTGCCCATGGTTTTTAGCTTTCTACATTGTTTTGTTCTTCCTTTCCCTTCACCTTTTCTTCATGTGGGGGCGAAATTATTGACGCGAACAAAATTTGCACTCACCAAATTTCCAAGGATTGAACTCGTCAAAATTTGCACTATTTCCTTAGGCATGTCACATGTGCCTCTCAAGTCTGGAACAAAGAGTCTAGGACAAGAAACTATTACTCAAAATGGTTCAATACTTCAAACTATGAGAATTCTGGAAATAATGAAGTGAAAATCTTGATTTCACGTACAATTGAAAACTCAAGTAACATCGAAATTGTAGATTAAAATAGTATGATTTTAAGGTTTATCCAAAAATTAATAACTTAAAAACCAAATAGTAATAAATTTTATGAATAATCGTCAACAACTTATCACTTATTTACTTGTGAAGATAATTTTGTCTTTCTAAATAAACACAAAATTGAAAGAAGCCATGATAGAATATTTGGCAGCCGTCAGCTTCGTCAAGTATGGGCTCTGATATCAATTGAACCTACCTTCAATCACTTTGGGGATTAGGGTTAGCGAGAAGAGGCTTAATTGCAAGTTTGGTCACTCGAATTGCTTAAAAATTTCACATTTGCCACTCAAATTGATTTATTCTATTTATAGTCACTCGAATTAGTTGAACAGTCCAAGTTTGGTCACTCTCCGTTAACCTTCGTTAGACTCCGTTAGTGACGACCGTTAAGTGATGATGTGGCTAACAGAAAGACACAGTCATCATATTTTAACATTAAAAAACGACGACCCGACCCGCCAGCTCAGCCTTACCCGCCCTGTCAGCCTTTCTTGCCCAACCCGCGAACCAACCCAATTAATTGACCCTAAACCCAAACCCGAGATCCCCCCCTGAATCTAGCCCCCTCCTATAAGTCTACCCCTCATAAATGAATCCCTAACCATCTGTTCTCTTCCTCTTTAATATGCGCGAGAATCGCCCCATCCCCATCCATCTCTTCCTTTCCTCCTCCTCTCACTTCACCTCTACCAATGGCGGCTCCCTTCTGTCACTGTGGAGAGCCAACAGATCTAAAGACGAGCTGGACTGAGGCGAATCCAGGAAGAAGGTTTTATGGATGCAGCAGATATGGGGTAAGGTTCATCCACCATTGTTTCCTTTTTAATGTTACCATTAGACTATTATGCCGCCTTTTTCATCCTTCTATTTTTTTCTGTCGATGGTGTGTAGACAAATGGAGCATGTAACTACTTCAGATGGCTTGACCCGGCCCTTGATGAGAATATGAGAAATGTGTTGCTAAACTTTCATCGTCGAATTCGGGAGCTAGAGAAGAGGCAAAACAAGGAGGTGTCCAAGTTTGGTCGGAAAATGGTGTCGTTCATCATTTTAGGAGCTATTGTATTTTCTTTGTTTTGGATAGGAAAGTGATAAGTCGTCTGTGTAGTTATAGGTGTTGTAATCTGTTGATGTGTAGCTCGTGTAGTCGAGCGATCTATCTAGTTGTTGACAATGTGTAACCTAGTATTATTCCATGTATGGTCACTTGAAGTGTACAATTAATCCATGTATGGTCACTTAAATTGCTAATTCGAAACATATTTGGTCACTTGAATTGCTAATTCATTCCATGTTTGGTCACTTGAATTGCGAATTTGTTTCATGTATGGTCACTGGAATTGCCAATTCGAAACATGTTCGGTCACTTGAATTGCTAATCCATTCCATGGTTGGTCACTTGAATTGCGAATTTGTTTCATGTTTGGTCACTGGAATTGCTAAATGGTTTCATGTTTGGTCACTCACAGGTAGGTGCACGAATGGAACAACTAAGACATGTATTCGTGCAAAAGAACCTTCCAATATACTGGAAGATTGATAAACCTGATAGTCATTCATAAAACTTAGTCTTACAAGGTCCAAATGATAATTATAGCCTCGAGGACAGTGTTTTTCCAAAAGAGCAATTCACCATGACCTAATAGGCTAGCTAATACGACAAAGGAACATTCAACGTCTACATTTACTAGCCAATTGGAGGCTTCAAAATGGTAATTATCATTTGGACCTAAACTGCAACTAATCTTCACTCGTGCTCTTGAGTCACTTGGCTTGCATTTTGCGATCCTCCACATCCTTGGCTGAGCTGCTGTGATGCCTCAATCCGTAGCCTCCTAGTAGTTCCCTGCAAAGTTAAAGCAACATTAGAAGATAGTAGGACTTGATTAGAAAGCAAAATTGTAAAATTGAATAAATATATACATCTGGCATGAGCTGGACAATGTTGGGCTGACTCAATGGCGCTTTTGCAGCCCTCTGTTGCTGCTTTTGTATGGCTTCCAATCGATTTTTTTCCGCTCTTTCGAGTTGTTTCGCCCTTTTAGCTTCTTCCTTAGCTGTTCCTTAGCATGTCTCCTTTCCTCCACCTGTTTCTTCCTTTCTTCATTATGGAACAGTTTGGTGTGCCCAACTACCCCACATGTGGTGCACGCGTACTTCCTTCCTTCCGACTTTGATGATTTCCTTTCACCCTTCTTCTGTTTCTTCTTCCCCTTCTCATCCTCATCGAGTCCCTTTCTTCGCTGCTTCTTTGGTCCGCCCCTCTTTTTTCGAGTTTGCAACTGGAGGGACTCCACAATCCCCTAACTCAGAAATTGGCCAATACTCCTTGCCATTAGTAGGTGAAATGGAGAACTGGTATATCTTCGCCGCTGTTTCCCTCAAGTAGCAATAAGCAACATGGTCCTTGATCAAAAGCTTTGCCTTTCTGATTGCAGTGATGACATGCGCACACGGAATGCCGGTCAACTCCCAATGTCTACATGTACATGTCTTGTTCTTCAGATTGACCACAACTTGGTGGTTGTGCCACCTCACCTCAAATTGACCGTTCCCATTACTTTCTGCTGACCACTTCAATGCTTCTTCAGTAGTCTCAGCTAGCTCCTTCTCAATCTTCTCAGTGAACATAGATGTTTAACTAGATACCATACTCCTTCTGTGGGCATATAACACCATCAAGTTTCTTCTAATCCCCTCCCACATACATACAGGAGCCATATCCATCTCTTCTATAATCACATTGTTCCAGCTCTCCACCTAATTCCTTGTATGAATCTTAGAGTTGCAGAGGGTTTGATAATGTGACCTTGTCCAATGGTAGAATGGCTTGTCGATCAACCAATCATAGGCTGCCTTGTTGTACTCTGATCGGGCTTGCATTTGGTGGCGAATGGGGCGCTTTTCCACAAAGGCATGTTGTTTTATGGCCTCTTTCAACTCTTCAAAACTGCCAAATCTTTGCGAAACAGCAAAATTAGGGCTCTCCATGTCTCTCTCAGCTCGAAACTCCTCCACCTGGTGACTATCCCCATCTTCATCTGAGCTACAAATTGTCCTTCGATCGTCTGAATCGACATCTGAACCCTCTTCTGCCTCTATGATAGTCTTCTTGCACTTCTCAATTTCATCTTCTTCGGTGTAGAAATCAGCTTCTACATCTGCAGCTACGCTTCTTTCAAACCGCACATTGTCAGCTCTGCTAAAGTCCTCCTCCTCTTCACTAGCCTTATAATCACTATCATCTTCCTCCTCATAGTCTGCATCGTCATCCGAGTCACGACCAGCAGCTTCTTTACCCTTTTTACCCACAGTGGCACCTCCATCTTTGTCCTCATCACTGTCCATGATCTCAGCAATGTCTTTCTCAGAGATGACATATAGTTCGATGACCCTCGCTTCTTCATTTGCACTTGTTGACATGGCAAGTATATCTTCATCTGACGTGATCTCTGACATAGCATCAGTTGAAGGATAGGTCTAGAAGAACTTCGGCTTGTCAATCTTCCCTCCACATGCCTTGTATATGTCAGGCAGATCAAGCGTTGATAACTCATCAATATATGCATAGTCCCAGTAGACTATAGACTTCTCATCCAGAAAATGCTTGCCACCCTTCTTCTTCAATGCTTCTGATAAGTGCACTTCAAACGTAAACTCTCCACTAGAAGCACCTGTTGCAAACAACGAAAGAGAGAATGAGTGATTAAAATGACCAAAGCAGTAAAGGGCAGATGCTAAAGTCTAACTTATTTAACCCAACAACTAGTATTAAAAGCATGAAAATGACATCTGAACCACTTCACACATGCTGCTGGTTTTGCTATTCCACACAAACCCTAATTTTCAATTGAAAAAAAAATGTTGTCCTTTACTGCAATAAAGGCGAGTTGTGTGAGGAGATAGTTGACTCACCATATTTCGGTTGGGGTGCATTTGGTGCACGCACATGACCCACCATGGTGTTGTCGTGGCTGAGCTAGAAAAAACAGACAAGAAACTCCACCATCAGTATAAAGAAATGTAAAGTTCCAGCCCCAAAAGATTCCCCAGGACAGCGACAAATCTTCTTTTACGCGTCGGGTTATAAAAGCGAAGAAGAGAGAATAGGAGAAGCAGGTGAGCATTACCTTTAAAACAGGAGCCTCTGCTTCTTCTGTCTCCTTCGTCAACCACGGCCGGAGAGAAAAGTCGAGCGTCGATTTAGGGCGGCGGCGGCGACTCCGATTTAGGGTTTCTCGTCGGGTTGTAAGAGGGGGGAAAAACAGCAGCGCGCGATGAAGAAGAGTCGCAGGAGGAAGAACAGACGCGGGAGGGGGAAGGGATTCAAGGCGGCGGCGCGGCGGCCTCCATCCCTTCGATGACGATTTTCGAAGGTGTGCGATGGAGAGAGGCGGCGCGGGAGGATGAGAGGACGAAGATGGAGGAAGGGAAATGCCCTAACCATCTGTTTTTCGATTTACTTTTCAGGGGGGGGGGGTCTCGGGTTTGGGTTTAGGGTCAATTAATTGGGTTGGTTCGCGGGTTGGGCAAGAATGGCTGACAGGGCGGGTAAGGCTGAGCTGGCAGGTCGGGTTGTCGTTTTTTAATGTTAAAATATGTTGACTGTGTCTGTCTGTTAGCCACGTCATCACTTAACAGTCGTCACTAACGGAGTCTAACGGAGGTTAACGGGAGTGACCAAACTTGGACTGTTCAACTAATTCGAGTGACTATAAATGGAATAAATCAATTTGAGTGGCAAACGTGAAATTTTTAAGCAATTCGAGTGACCAAACTTGCAATTAAGCCGCGAGAAGACGAAGTAAATCACAATCGACGAATAAAGAGAAGGTGAAGGGGTAACAAATGATCGGCTTCAATCTTCACTCTTCACTGTATCTTTTAGAATACATAGGCCGAGATAAAAGAAAAGCCCAAAGGAGAAATTTCTAAAGCCCAAAAGTAGTAAGCTTAAAGCCTCATTGTGTGTTCTCTCAAATTTCTTGTAATATCGAGTTAAACCAAAACAAATAACTTGTTAAAATTTATGATGAGGTGGGGAAGTTAGTAGCGTTT